CCCCCCCCCCCCCCTCCCACCCCGTCACCCCCCTCTCTCCCCCGCTAGATCACTGCGGTACCCTGCACCCAAATTACAGGCCGCCGTCCCTTCAACAACCCCCCCCCCAACCCCCCCAGAAAGACCCTACCGTGCACCTCGCATCCTCGCTCTCACACGGGAACGATTGAAAACGACATGCCGCGGGGAAAGCATTCATCCGGTCGTCTTTCTCTCGGCCTTACCTTCGTTTTCGGTGTCAGTCTTCTTGGAGCGGTTCCGTCCGTCTCTTATGCCGAAGACGACCGTTTGTTGGCGGAATCGATGAGCGCAGCGGTTTATCGATGGACGGATCCGACGCTCCGCTTCTACGGCACCGGGCTCTTCCCTCTAATAGTCCTTATTGTTGCGGAGGAAGAAGCGGCTCGTCGGGGTAATTACAGAAGCAGCGGCCCGGTGAGGAGTCTCTGCCGTGGAGATGCAGTGCCTCGGCGCATAAAAAGGGCGCTGTGTGCCTGCGACGGCGACCGCGGGCCGGGAGATGCTGTCGGTGCTGAAGATGCGAGCCGGTGGAGGTTGATGATGATATCCATAGAGGTCCCTGTTTCCACCTGACACAGCCTCCCTCCCCTCCTCCTCCTCCTCCTCCTCTTCCTCTCCGCTGGTGATGCTGGAGAGAAATATCAGCGTTAGTGCGGGGAGCAGAGAGGGAGACAGCAGGGGGGACTGGGGGGGCGCTTCAACGTTACACATTGTTATTTTACAGCGGCAGACGCCTTTTAAGGGCGAACCAACATGTCAAATGTTAACCATGTTATGAAAACGTATGAAACCACGACAAGAAATATGCTGCTTTAATTATGTTCAAATGTAAGTGTTTGTAATCACTCTTTTCAAGTGCTAGTTTGACGTTAAGTAACGCTAGATGTGACGTTGGCTGAAACGTAATGCTAGCAATTAAGTTCGAAATTTGATACAATAATGCTAGCTTAATGCTAAGTTATCCCAAACTTGCAGTTCCATTGGATGTAACATACCTCTCGCATTGTCGCATTGTGTTAAGATTTCTGGCTCAAAAGTTAACTAACTACCCAACTAACACCAGTTAACTAACGTTAGCTAACTAGAAACAGCAGTTCATTAGAGTAAACCGGATGTTTAAAGTCCCAACTAACACTTTTCTGTTCCATGAAGAAGAAGTGGGCGGTGCACCGGTCGTCAATCAAGAGCTTAATTTCCATAAGAATAGTTTCCCCACTAACACAATCTTTTTCAGAGTAATCAATTAATCATTTAGTTTACATAAATGTAGTAAAATATAATATACAAAGTCCAATTAATACCTTGAATGTAAGATCTCCCTAAGGTTGCAGAAATTCCCTTATTATCAAGAAAGAAAATACAGATGCCACTCACCTTCACCTTATTCACAGCACACATCATTCATAGAGTCACTTCATACTTTACAGATTAAACATAAGCCTCATAATAAACCAACTGTTTTTTATATTTTGTCCAAAGCGGATAGGCTTTAATTGAACATTAACAATGAGTTCCTGTTGCAAAGGCAAAATAAGATGTACTAAGTGCATATGAATACACTTTCAAAGTGAGTGTGTTTATGAAGCCTTGAGTACTTAAATAAAATTTTTCTTACAAGCTTAGAGCCCTCATGTTACAGTTCTAGTCCTTAATCATCTCTTTAACCTCAAGCAATCTTAAGGTATCCTGACCCTGGTCTAATACTCACAGTTTTGAACTTTGTTTGAATAGGGTTTCTTTACAGTAACTATATTGACATTTTATTTTATTCAAATGTCTTATAAAGACCATGTAATCAGAAGCATTTTATGTGAGAAAGAAGATGAAGTTATTGGATTTCAGATTTGGATTAAAGGGAATTGTCAACTTTTTAATAAGACCTGATTTGTGTAATAAACATTTTATTACTTACGAGGAATACCAAGATTACTTGTGCGAATCCTTTACCAGCTGCAACATTTAAGCGATGTAGCCATATAATCCAATGATAACACACAACGCACTTTAAGTACATTATGATAGAAATATTTTTAGAGATTTCAAATGCAGGACTTTGACTTGTAATGAAGTGTATTTTACATCTTGTATAATTAGACTTTCTTAAGTGGGAGATCCTGCGCAGTGACAGTGCAGGGCCTCCACTGGGGGCCCCTCAGAGCAGCGGGGCTCCTTTAAATCTCCTCCGAGGAAAAGGGGGAGGAGCCTCAGTGGCGGAAGCGCCTCTCTTCGTTTTCCACGCTTGTCAAATGGGACGTTGTTGTTTTTTTAACTGAAAGTTAAGTCCACACCGGACTCAATTTGAAGTGGCCAAGTTGTTGTTGTGTTGTGGAACTCTCTTGATGCAAATGATGTCGGACTCCATCAAAAACGTCGCAATATTTGGAGCCACGGGAATGACCGGGCTGGCGACCCTCCCGCTCGCCGTGGCTGCAGGTGAGAATGAGAATGAAAAATGAAAAAAATAAAAATAAGAATGAGCGTGAAACAGAATGGAATCGATTGTACATCGGTGCCTGCTGTTGATCGAAATGTTTACCGGGGACACTCAGCGGCCCTTGATTGGATCCAATACATGTAGTCTACCGTTACATATTACATGCATCTATAACAATGTATTTGATTAAAACCACAATGATTGGGGATTTTGTTAAAACCCACACGTCTATTTGAAATGCAATCTGATTACATTTATTTTACACGTTTCGTGTAACCTTTTTCTTGATTTAATGTCATGTACTCATTGAACTTGTTCTTTAATAATAAGGTATGCAGTTTTGTTTAGCATTCAACAATCCAAGCTGTAATTCGCTCGATTACTCACTGGGATTGCCCAACGTTTTGAAAACTTTCACATGATTCCTTTAATTTAGCGGCATTTTCATTTCCCTTTTTCCGCCACTACACAGGGGAAAAACAAACTGTCGAGTCATGTTGCATATTACAGAGTCACAAAGAGCTGATAGTGGAAGCTGCTCACTATCTCGCCTTTACAGACAGGGTGGGACCTCCTTGGTGTAGCAGGTGAAGTTCTAAGAGAAACTTTTGCAATAGACTCCATAACTTTATCATTAGTTTGAAGAATTTGTGTTTGTGCCCCGTTGAAACCTTACCCCCCCCCCCCCATGCTGTTATTCCAGCACATTCTGCCTCACTGCACAGCAACCAACCAGGTGAAAGTGACAGTTTGAGTGAGAAAGTTGATGACCAGGTGAAACCGTCCGTTGGTAATGTGTCACTCACCCCTAGCTGCTCCTTCGTGGAGCAACTAGAGGTTGGTGACACAATATTCAAACAACATTAAAAAAGATGTTTGGGATGTTTGATTACCATGTTTTTCCCCATCAGGATACAACGTGACGGTGCTGGTGCGGGACCCCACCAAGCTGCCCGCCGACCACAAGGTCGCCAGAGTGGTGGTGGGGGACGTGCTCAACAAAGAGGACGTGAAAAAGACGTTGGAGGGGCAGGACGCTGTTGTCATCATCCTGGGCACCAGGAACGACCTGAGTAAGCCCCCACAGTTTTGATCAGCAACTAAAACTGTATTACAGTCGGCATAACATGACAGCACGATGAGTGAGGGAAACAAAATGCATGTGTTCACCAGGCAAAGACAAAAAATATTGTTTCCATATTCCTTTTAAAGATGTTTTACCCCTGATGTAGGGATTCATTTGAAGTACAATATAGTTTGTATACTTTTTTTATGCTTCATTTGCATTTTTGATTTCACCTGGCTGAAAGTTGCAGCACAGCTGTGACATTTTCACACAAATGTCTTTTGATTTGTTTGCTTTGCGTTGTTAAGGGTCACGGTGATCCTTGCACAACTGACCATGTGCACCTTACTCAAGGTAGCTGTAGCCTTTTAATGATGTAACAGTGGAGACCTTACTCAAGGTAGCTGTAGCTTTTTAATGGATGTAACAGTGAGAATATTCACTAGAAGTCGCAACTCAAGTTTTACGACAACAGACCTGTGACGTTGGGTCAGTGTGACACAGTCTGAAACCAACCGCTTATACAAAGGTGGACCTTATTATTCGAAAGATGGCAGACACTAACAACCAATTGTTACTTTACAGTTAAAGTCCTGAATTCAAATTTCAACGAGTGAACGCCTCCGATTCCAGAGGCTGAAATTATATATTATATTATAGAGATTACATAATTGATGAACCATAATTTCTAAATTCTCACTTTGATAAATAATAAAAAATAGTTTTACCTTGTGCTTTTCATGTATGTTCAAATATGTGGAGGAGAAGAATACCAGCATCTCAAACTATACTCAAGTACAGTTTTTGAACATTTGATCTGATTTCCGCTCGACAGGCGCGACCACCATGATGTCTGAAGGCACCAAGAACATCATTGAAGCCATGAGGGCTCGTGGGATCTGCAAGGTGGTCGGCTGCATGTCGGGTAATGCTCACTGTTTACTGTCATGGATTTCAGATGAGCACTACAATCGGGACAGTTAGTAGCAGTGTGTTTGTAACGTTGTCTCATCCTCATCCTGCTGAGCCTTTCTGCTGTGGGATCGCTCCAAAGTCCCCCCCCGGATGCTTCCTGTGACACAGGACCACGAGAGGATGCACGCGCTCCTCAAATCATCAGGGCTGGACTACGTGGCTGTCATGCCTCCTCACATTGCTGGTCAGTGGGAAGTAGAAAGCACAGCTTGGTTTAAGAAATTATTCAAGGCATTACTTTGAATAATTTTCTCCATAGACAGCCAGAGAATAATATCAACGGGATTACCAGCCGTTTTAATTAATAATTAAATTATAAATAATAATAATTCTGCGAGAACCTCTTTATCTATTTATTTTTGCTTGGCATAATTGTAGACTGCAAATGCAGCCAACAAGAGCAGTATTGTGTTTTCTTAAAAGTTTCTCTGTCTCGCTCCCTCCAGATGACCTCCCTCTGACCGAGAGCTACCTGGTGGCGGAAAACATGCTAAAGGGAAGAGCCATTTCTAAACACGACCTGGGACACTTCTTCGTCAAGTGCTTGTCCACCACAGAGTGGGACAGCAAGACCGTTGGAGTGTGGGGAGAGTATAAATAATCCTGCTGAATCGTCCGGAGAGGGAAGGGGCTTTGGATCTCTTCAAGATTGCCATTCTGAATAGAAAAACCCATGTTAATGATGAGAATGTTGGAGATAAATGACCAGCAGTACACGTGAAGATAGAAATTACCAGCGTGATGTGAACAACAAATGCTTCCCTGTGTCTTTTTAGTTATTTTATCATGAGTATAAAGCACTGAGGAGGTGCTTGCTTTGCGAAAGCAGAATGAAACTCCACAGAAATTCCACATGTGGCTGTTTACACTGCTTCACAGCTTTTCTGCCCGCCCCGCTTTTTTGTTATAGCTGTTGGAAATAAAATACTTTGTTGTGCTGAAAGAGTGATGTGTTGTGTGAATGAACAGACTGTTTTGGTTGCTGGAGTGACAAAACCGCAACAATGGTTATACACTTTATATTAATATGGTATTATCTACATTATAATTCAACTTTGTGAAAACAACAAAAGGAAATCGGATAGTGTACACCTCCTTGATTAATACCTTTACTGTTGGAATTAGAAAAGATGCTTCAAAGGATCTTTACAAGTGATTGAAAATCTTTACTTCATTAGATTAAGCACCGCAACAGCACATGTTGGTACACCATTACATCTTTTACTTAGATGAGCACTTATTTGAAAACAGTAATCCTATTTTCCAAAAAGAATGTTGTATTTGGATCCATTGATCACTATTAGTAATATACAAGTGAAATATATAGTATAAATAGTAGTATAAATATATATATATATATATATATATATATATATATATATATATATATATATATATAATAGTATAAATATATACAAATGGTGCCAAAATACGCCCAAACTTATATCTAGAAAACCTCACCTGAGTTACATTATATAATTTATTGTATTAAAATGTATATATATATATCGTAACATTATTAGAATGTTATACTATACGTATTTTAAACATGTGCGGCAGATGTTTAGTGACTTTTATTTTGACAGAGTACAGGAAGTGACGACATGTTTCTCTCTGCCGTCCAATGCATTGGCCAAGGAGGAGCTGCTTGTTTTTTAAAAGTTGACTCACTGGTTCTTCAAGCTGCGTGGAATCTTCTAGGTGTGGAATTTAGATCGAAACAGTAGACTTTGACATGTTGGTAGTTTGTCTCAGCAGAAGAAACTTCTATTGACCGTTGTCCTTCCCAAAGATCGCAATCTTTCAGGTAAATAACACAGTGTGACACAGTAAGACCGAATCGGACAAATGCGACTATTTTATTACCGAGAGTGTAAAACTCATTTCCACGTGGACGCGTAGCGTCATATGTGCAGCCTTTAGCTGTTTTTGCTTTGTCGTCATGTGTTATGGAGGTGCCAGTGAAATGTGTACATTTTTATTTAATATTGGTCTAAAGTTAATAGCCCGGTATCCTGTCATACATGTTTAATTATCTTACAGTGACTTTAATTTGAAATATATATATACTGACTGGAACCGACTTTCGGTATCCACTATTGTTTTACACAAATATTGCCATACTTTGTATGTAAAACCAATATACTGATGGATCCCTCTGTTGGTGATGTAATCCTTTAGGAATTAGAATTATGCAAATTATATAACACCAAGTTTAACAATCGGGTCTGCGTGGAAAAGGATCAGAACGTATATATAATATTTATTTATAATATATATATGTAGGTAAAAAATGTAATTTTTAACATTCTATATTATTCAAATTGGCTGTAATTTACATAAACGTCACTACCCATGATGCATTTCGTTACATCCAGCCACCAACGGTAACGTAGAACCTTTCGGATTGAAACTCAAATCACGGGCGGGAGGAGAGCGGCTCGGTCGGCTCGTGCAGCTGCAGCGTCTCAAACTAAACGTTTTTAATATATTTTTAATCGTCGACATACTTTATATATATTTTTTGCCCAAACCGAAGAGGAGACAACCACCACCAGCGGTATCGACGAACGTTAACACGACTAAAAGTTACCGAGGACCGACGTCGATTCAACAGGTCTGTTCGCTTAAAAATGTCTGACTTTATATCTGTGTTACAAGATGTAACGTCTTAACAGTTTCTGTCTCGTTATTCGAGATGATTCGAGTCGATCCAACACGCGTGTGTCTCGACGGCCTCTATAGAGCTCTCCTTTTCCCTCCTAACGTCACAACCCCCCACACACGAAGTGTGGCTAGCTGCTCTCTGCGGGACTTCACCTTAGCCTAGCTAGCTAGCTAACCTTAAGTTAACTGGAGTTTCCACAGAGCGGGCTTTACTATAAACGTTATGGTTATTGAATTGCCAAGGTTTCATATTCCTGTCTCCGTAGTGTGTCAAACTAAACAAACTAAACAAATATCTAAGTTAGTTAAATAGTTATTTCCCAAGGCATTCTGGCAAAATTGAACGAAAACAAAAAAGCAGTACAGCCATTTAAACGAGGATTGCACGTCACTTATTGAATATGGTTGTTAATGTATTATTACCACAACCAGCTAACCGTTTAACATGTTTACTGTTCTTGAGTATCTCTTATACTGCTTCGTCCCTATTTACTGTCTCAGTCTGTGGTTGCAACTTTAAACTACTTATTTACTACCTGTTAAAAGACCATAAGAGTAGAACATGACGAATGTTTACCACAGGCTGTCAGAGGGATATCGTTTATACTTTAAATCCTTAATGTTTATGATAATGTTTTAATGTTGGATTACGTTTACATTGACTCCTTTACTATTGAGTGACGCAAAATGAAATACTTTGTATCTCACAAGCATTTTTTATATCGCCCCCCACGCTTTAGTCTCTTTAGTATTATTTTATACTTCGAGATGATTTTACGTGACCGTTTCCTCCTCCTCTCCCCCCTCGCAGCTCAAAGATGATCATCAAGGCGCAGAAGCGCAAACACCCACCGGAGGACGGGGAGGAGTCCGACCGGAGCAGCCCAACCTGGGAGAGCCAGCGGCAGTTTGTGTTCTCCGTCTCCCTCAACAAGTACCAGAGCGGCCAGGTGCTGCCCGAGCCCAGCCTCCGGCGCTCCGTGCTCATCGCCAACACGCTGCGGCTCATGAGCCTGGAAGACAGCGTGGCGCCATCTGCGGACATGGAGGTGTCCCCGCCACCCTGCGACTCTCCGCTGGGCCCCCAGAGGGCTTTCGCCGGGGACGCGGCGATGTCCTGCGAAAGCCCCTCGGCGCTTGGCGGCTGCCCTCTGGGTTCTGTGAATAGCGCCGCTAGCAGGTGTTCCATGAACTACCATCCGGGACCATCTAATGTCTTGCTGCCTGTTAGAGAGGAAGACGAGGACTGGGGATCGATGTCCACGGACTCCGATTACTCCCTCTCAGCCGCCATCACCTCCATTCTTACGGCGCTGGACTCCATCATTGACGGGAGCCCGCAGGCAGCTCCACGGACGCCTCTCAGGTCCTTGGAGAACCTGATGGGCCCTTGCGAGGGAGCCGTGGCGTGGGCCAAACAGGGAGGCAGGGGTTATGCAGGAAGCTGGGAGCAGCAGGTAGAGTCCAGCGATCTTTTTCAGGATATAGACACATCCCTGCTGGAGAGGGACATGGGTGTGCTTGGGCTCATAGGCAGTGGGGGTGGATACCAGGCTAGGGACGACTTTTACCAGTATCTGCCCCCTTTCTCCTCCCCTTACACCCCCTGTCCCTCTCTAGCAACCAGGATCTAAGATGTCTGCGTTCGTTCTCCCTTTTCAGCACATTTTCATCCGCATCCGCTCTTTCCTAGCCACTCATCTCCAGTCATGAGGCCATTTGGGAAAACGTTCTGTGCGGTAAACCAGATGATTCTTCTTAATGGCAATGAGTCAGTGAATAACAGCTGAAAATCAGTGTACCAGTTTCAAGTGCGACAGCTAATTGGAACAAATGAAAGGTGTGATTAAAATACAGAATTCATTGAATAAATGAGACAATAGTCTCACTCTACAAGGCGTCAAAGGCACCACAGCTCCAAGGAATCCTGCATGCACATCAAACTACCAGTTAATGTGTTGTCTGAAAAAATGTTAATGGGAGTGTGAGAGAATGCTGTTTGTTTGAAAGAGCATTTGAAACACTAATTTTATAGGTCAAACTTCTGTGAAGAAATCTTTTCACCTTACTTATCAGCAAGTTAGAATGATGTTGTCAGGTGATGAGATTGGGTCAGGGGTTCTTTTTTTCCCCGTGAAATAAATCCATATGCACCGATCAAAAAGAGCCTTTACCGCCTTTTAATCGAGGCTTTTAGTCAAAGAGCGCTCATACTAGAGTTTGTACACAGCACAACCATGTGGCTATTGCTATGGTACAAAGTAACTATCTCAACTGGAGTCACAACCGCCTTGCGATGGCTTCTGTTGTACAGATGTGAATCTATATATATATTTTTGTAATCAGTCCCGGCGGGTGCTTAGCATCATGCTGTGAGCCTCGTTGGCAGATGGGAGTCTACGTGGCGCTGTAAGCAGCCGTTCACTCATCTGCAGGTCCGCCCGTCCCACTGGGCTTCAAACGTTAGGTCTGGTTTAGAGATGAATTATTGCACTTTTGTTAATACGAGTTGGTTTTACCGTGTCATTTCTACATGTTAAGCAATGGTAATATTGCAGGTCCAATGAGTTAATACAAACCCATAAAGGGGACTACTGTTACGTGTACGGTTCGTGTATGTTCTGGGGGGGGGAGGGGGGGGGGTTAAGGAGACGGGAGCAGAATCCGCTGTACGTGTTGGTCCTGCATTCAACACTCAGAGGGAGCACGCGACACTGGTCACTCAGGTTTTTGTACTTTCGTTCCACCTCTGCAACAGTTGCTTTCTGTTCAAAGGTCCTTTGTGAATAGCTGGACTGCAGTCTCACACTATTTATGAATGTTGTATTCTTTGTTAAGATGGAATGTCATACAATGTTTGCCAATTTCCTAATGCTATATTAATTTACGGTCATGTCATTTTCTCTCATTTGTTACAAATTATTTTTAATGATTTCGACATTGAGGGCAGAATGCCTGGACTCTTTTCTTTTCCAAAAAAAGGCAATTGTCTTTATTTATACCAATGTTTTTAATAAAATAAAAAAATAAAAATGCTTTTCAAAGTTATTTATTATAAACGCATAAAGTACATTTTACAGCTCATAATTGACACTTTTGGAAACTGATGGGGGGGGGGGGGGGGTGATGAAGTTTACTATGCATGACCCTGAAGAGCAGCAGTAGCACATTCAGAACCATGAATGTGGAAGAAGATTACATAACTGATGAGTTTCAGCTTCAGTCCGACCTGCCGAAAGTAAAACACTTTGGGTGTTCGTGATTGCAGACACTTTCACGGGGTCGGACTCCGCACAATACAGAAGGAACATTTGCTGATTAAAGTCAAAACAAAGGCCAATAAGCTTACAGAAAACATAATAAATGGAAACGTAAATTTATATCTTGTCCGATGTGGACACACGTTGGACTGACGGGACAAAACATGCACAACGTAGGTTTACAGTACCCGGATGTATAAGCCTACTCATTCAACTAGATCTGATGCAAACGTTAAAGTGCATTTCAAGTGTCCAGGATCTCTAAACACACATGCGCTTTTTTCATCAAAATGAACAGTGACGACCTATTTACAGTCCTGTTTCGTCTCTTCCTCGACCCCTCGGTACCAACTCTTTGACCCGGTTTCTATTCTCTCCTGGAGGGGTACTACCACGTGGTGACCACCAGGGGGCAGCACCGTGAAAGGAGAGCAGTGTCCCCAGTGCTGTTGTGTGAGTTTCTGTAGTCTGCCAGGCTGATCCAGGCACAGCAAAGTCACCGCTCTTACACAGGAAATACCATCAGATTTTCCAGCTAACGTCACCCGTGTTTTAAACGCTCTGCAGCATTCATGCTTATCAAGGTGCACCCAAGTGGTGGGGGCCGACCCCGGCTCCGAGGATCACCGGGCGCCCTGGTCTGTGTGTGGAGGTTCTTCCCATGTGACGTGCAGATGTGAAATATGGAAAGAAGGACCCCAGTGTTTCTCAACGGGGGACAGAGGAAGACGGAATGAAATTTTTTTTTTTTTTTTTTTTTTTTTTTAAAAGGCAGAATTTAAGAATTCAGATTCAGCCAACCAGAGGTAGATATTTCTTTTCCTTTTTCATTCTCTGAACTCAGCCTGTGTTGATGGTGTTGTAGGAGGCCTGCGATGCCGCTTCCAGGGGCTTGCTGGCCTCCTCCGTCCGGAAGGAGGGTGCCTGAGCCCCGTGTCCGACCTCCACGATCGGCTTCTGGTCCTCGTCCAGGTCAGGGTCCTCGCAGCGCGGGAGCTGCAGGAAGGTGGTCAGGCCGTGCAGGTCGGCCATTTTGTGGATGGTGCGCAGTACAAGGTACATCATCATCAAACCCACGAACATGTAGACTAGTGGGGGCAGAAAGACAGGAGGAATACCAAAAAAAATTATATAATTATTTTTCTCTTTTCAATGCAAGTGCTTGATAATAGGTATAACCCTTACATTATAATCTTATGACACATAAAGTTCTAATCCCCACGTATCTTAACACACATCCAGCAGGAAGTTAAAGCTGCACTTAAAACTCAGACAGTGTGGGCGGAGCTTAGCCTTGTGCAGACACAACAAAGAGCTTTCAACGCTTCGTGTCTCACAGGTCTAAACCCAACAAGACACTTCAACCACTTAAGCTCACAAGAGCAATTTATATGGAAAATTCAGAATAGCCGGACGTGTACAGTAGTTCCCTTATACATTAATATACATTTGTGGAAACGTTTTCAAAGAGCCCTGTAGATTGGAGGTTTGGTGCTACGATGAATAAACTATAGAAGGAGTTTGGTATAAGAACAAAAGACGTCGACCAATTCCCACGAGACAGGAGTTAGGGTTAGTTCAACGGTTACAACTAAAAGTAAACATCCACATTCCGTAAAATCCTGTCTGCCACGTGCCGGTGTGCGTTAAAACAATAGATCTATGGTGCAAAACGATTAGAACAAGAAATTGTAGCAGTGTGTTTATTCAGTCTAAATAGGTTCACAGTACTGTAGGTACATGTGCTATTCTCCACAGAGCGGTTTCAAGGTGTAAGGAGCACGTGTCATTTTGTGTAGTACAGTTAAAGTAGAGCAGGACATAACCACACTGGTGTAAAGGTTTCAACCAGATCGGCACAGGGACCCTAACCGTGGGCGTTTCACCGCTTTAATAAGGACATCTTCATTAAAAAAAAACCCAGGGAACTACAATTTTTAAACTATTACATGCTAATAGTTCAATGTCAGTGTCCCACAACCACGTAAACATCTCTAAATGTGGCCAGTTAGGAGCAGAGAAACTACGGTCCCAAAAAACCTCTATGGGACCAAAATGGGAATCCATTTTGAGCACAAGGACAAAAGTCTCTAGTGGAAGTCAAAAATGTGTTATTCCTGCTCCGCTCCAAAGACTCTATGGTCACAAGTATACACGGAAACTTCTCTACATAAGAGTTCTGGTCCTATACCAGTGTGCCAAGTATCGGATTACAGCTCAGCCACTTTCAGCCCACTGTGGGAAGTGGACAGTAAGCTGTGCGGTGAAGCTCAGGGACAAAATGCTGCTAGTTTTAAGACTGAGAAACACAGGTAATGGCACATAGTCATCAAATGGAATTAAAGCAATGAACTAAATTGATGAATTGGTATGAAACATTATACTGCTCCTGAATCCTTTGCCATGGGTGGGGGGGGGGGGCCAAACACAATGGACTTAAAAGGGGCTTTGAGTCCAAACCACCACCTCACAATATTTCTTCTTCAGCAGTAGAGAATTCTGTGGTGAAAAGCCTTAAAATCCGCCTCCTCTAATATTGGCCAGTCATAGTGAGGCAATCCATGTGTATACATGGATAACTGCTCAGTTTTAGCCATTCTGGTGAAAAAAAAACTAAAAAAGTTTCACGTCTTGAAGTCGTTCTCCAATTGTCCCTCAGAAACCTGCCGGGGACGGCGTGGGTTAATCGGTCTCAACTACATCATTATATAATGCAGCCTGTGGGATGGAGAAACAACACGGCCGCTCCGTGTGAACTGCTGGGCCTCCTTCCAGACTCAAGCCAAGGGATTAGCTGACGACAGAGGATGAAAAAAGAAAGAATACTCCCAGTGCGTCCACCGCTGTCCTTTGGACAATAAACCTATTAAAAAAACATTAAAATCTCCTTAACCTTAAAGATGCAGAAGTTAATGGTTTTAGTTAGTGTTTTACGGTGGAATCCTCTGGTTGAGAGTAAAATCCCCACAAAAAAGCTGCATTCATCTAAACATAATGTCCTATCTGTGTTTGTTGGATATTCACTCCAAACACAGATGACTAAAACTACAGCATGGCTACGTTTGAAGATAAAGAAAAAAGTCCATTCCAACCCTGATTCAATAACAGAAAACGCCTTGCCTTGCCTCTGGTCGAATCACACGAAATAACAGTCATGTGACTGGGAGGTCTCAATTTAGAACAACATCGAATAACATCAGCCACAGCAAACCTCTGAATGCCGCCATTGTGAATGCGCTAAAACGGTTTCCACACTGAGAAATGGGGGTTTCCTGCCCAACCCCTTCATCTGCAGACATCACTGTGCGTGTCTGCATGTAGCTGTGCAGCGGGGGATGAATTGAGGGCAATTACCATCAAGAACCACTGGGTAAGAAGAAGAAAGGTGACTCACTCATGTGGTTTCTGAAAAGTGTGTCTGACATGGCGATTCTAATCGCTATGAACAACACTGAACCGTTTCCCTGGCAGCTGCTGAGGCAGGCTGCTAAACGCTAACATTAGCATGCTAAAATGCCCATATTGACAATGCTAACAATCATTATCATCACAGACATCTCACTATAGATTAGTTTTTTTGTTTAATTAACAAAACAACTGCAGGTGATTGGAATACGACTTGGATTAGAAGAGTTTTAGTCCGCTACATTTGATTCATGGTGGCGTTAGAGGAAACAAAAAAACAAAACGTGTGTGCCAATTGTCATGGAAATCTATGTAGCTATTTTTAGGGCACTTCACCCAAACCCCAAAAGCTCAACCTCATGGCAGCGCCTCAGGAACCAATAGGTTCATTCTCTGGGGAACATGAATGTACAAAATACACACCGATAAACAAAGAATCGCTCCATTCACAAATCTAACCGTAGCCACGCAGAAGAGTGTACTTGGCCCCCTTTTCCAGGAAGCCGGCAGACGACTCAGAGAGAGCAGGGACCCACTGCTCGGCCCCGCTACAGAGAAAAGAAGCAGCGGGAGGCGCCACTTCCTACATCGCAGGTGAGAAGGAAGAATGCATGAGGTCAGCTTCGGGAAATAATTCAGAAAATATGTCCCCTTCACCACCTGTATTATTTGCGATGAGACGGTCCCCTTCGGAGACAGACATGTGGCGGCTCTGTGTGAGCCTCACAGGGCGTAGACCACAGCAGACTGCAGGAGGGCCCCAGTTAGCCCTCATGTCAATGCACGCGGAGGTACAGTGGTGTTTTATATTCTTAGACGCGCCCGAGGGGAAATAAAAAAACAAATAATAAAAAGATCACAATGATCCTTAACTTCGTTTTAAACTCATGCTCACGTTGTGGGGTTTGTTTGGCTGACAAGATGCAAAACGTCACTACTCAGAAGTTGCTCTGTGGAATACAAGTCACGTTTACCTAACGAGGGGCCTGATCAATAAGGCCGTCAGCAGCTGCCCAGTAGACCTGCTTTAAACGGCTCATTATTCTATAGATCACAATGATTCAGGTGATCGACATACGTCACAGTGTCAGAGGAGTAGGGCGGGACTGCATGTGCAGTTACACTCTGTATATTGCGCCAGACATCCCACCTCGGCGCACACTGTGTTATAACAACGGAGTGTGTGCTGCCTCATGACTGAGGATTGTGAAAGCAGCACGAGAGTCTTTTCCACACGCCTTTGGTAAATTTCATGGCCGAGTACTAATTCCTCTGCATTAACGTTGGTGTGGGCCTGTTTGCTTGCTGTGGTAAACTGTGCTGAGACACACGGCCACCGTGTCCTGATGAGACAACACCTTCTTATCAAACATGTGATGACTCAGCCTTAATAAGAGGAAGTGTGTGAGGAGCGCACAAGCAAGACTGTAAAAAACACTCCAAACAAGTCACGCATCAGAAGCAAATGGGACTAAACAAAGGAACGGGACCTGAAGCAGAAAGCCTTGCTCACACATTACATTTGAGATATACGGCTAAATGATCTGGTCCTTGTAAAGCACTTCTGACCACTTAAAGCTCTTTAACACCCACTGATACACCGCAGCCCTGCGGAGAAATGTTCAGGGAGCCGTTTGGCCAACAGATGCATCCACATGGATGGGAGGAGCCGGGGAGTGAAACTAGCTTCTGGAAACAAGTCGAAAATATTTGTGTGTTATTTTCGCAATTAGCACATGGATTGTTGAGTTGTGCTACATTTACACGTGTTGCAAGATCAGTGACATTTGAAAAATGGGACGGAAAAACACGGAGAAAACAGTTTTACAAAAAGTGTTTTCTACAGTCATAATGACCTCTCTCATTCTAAAAGGTGCACGTTAATGCGGAATACGAGACATTGCGTTGACTTAAACAAAAACATGCCTGCAAATAATTAGTATGAAGTTACAGAGCGATTTATAGTCCAACTTAATTTTAAACAAAAATGACAAAACACGACCAACAAGGTGGGCGTTTTGGGCAGTAGGTAAAGCTTAGCTACACCGGAGGACTGAATGGACGGATGTGATCGTGATCTACGCGAGGGGACTCACACATGACGGAGAGCTGGTACAGCGACCGGTGCTTCTGCCTGGGCTGTGTCCCCGGGACAAAGTCTCCCAAGCCGATGGTGCACAGCGAGATGAAGCAGAAGTAGACGCCGTCCAGGAACGACCAGGAAGCCTCCAGCTTGCTGAACACGGCGGCCGGCGCCACAAAGAAGCACAGCACTACCAGGACCAGCAGCAGCGTGAAGTGGAGCACGGTGGCCGGCCGAGGCCGCAGACCCAGGCGCTGCAGGAGGCCGACGGGGCCGAGGACCAGAGGCTGCATGAGCCGCTGGACGCAGGCGGTGAGCACCAGCATGGTGAAGGGGACTCCTATCAGGGCATAGAGGATGGAGAAGGCCTTCCCAGCGTCGGACAGCGGAGTGGTGTGGCCGTAACCTGGGGGGGATGGAAGGAGAAGGATGTTGGGAGGAAGAGCGGAGGCACAAGACAGGCGACATAAAATAAGTATTAAATCCCTGAGCGTGGTAGGGGTGAAGAAAGAGTGCAAAGTGTTTGTGAGGAGAGTCATTACGTCATCGCCCTGCAGCCGTGGACTTTAAAACAAAGTCTTTTTATGAAGGGTTGAGGAAATTAAAAATTGATGCCCCCCCTCCCAAAAAAAGTGATATACAGTAACCGAATCCATTGAGTGGTGCGATTTTCTAAGACCACAGTACTTACTACATCTCAAATGTCCCCAGTCAGGCGCTTAACAGAATGCAGAGCTAAACTGCATCCCAACTGTACGTCAGAGACGGTCGGAGCTCCATTCAGAGCCTGAATGACACATGATAGCATGTCCCCATGAGGATAAGAGGGACAAGGACTTCGATACGGATGAGTTTTACATCATCTTTGTGCTGTTTTGCAACTCTTTGTGGTCGTTCCGTGTCTCATTTTAGTCATCTCACGTCCCACCCCTTAGACGATCACACACACTGGAGACAAACTCACAGTTCCAAACAATTAACACGTTGATTTAACTCCCACTAACTGATTATGTGGAAGAGTCTGGTTCCACTTCAACTCACTGTATCTATTGTGGTTGTTCACACAGCCGTGCTATGCAATAATGAACTATAATAAAATGACTACTTAATAACATTTGACTAGTTCACTTCTGGTTTTAGATCCAGGTTAAAAAAATCGTTCAGATCATAAAAAGGTGGTTTGTTTCACAGCCTGCGCGATCATCTGACTGCCTGTGTGTTCTTTTCTCTCAACAAGCCAACAGAGCAGGTCAACACGCCAATTAAGTGTCACAGAAGGAAACACATGCGGCATTGTGGATGAAATTCATGCATCACACAGAACAAACCAACTTCCCCTGAACGCAGAGATGATTTCCGTTCTGCTTCATGCATGGGAGTGCTTTGCTTAAATAGCAGAAGCTCGTCATAAAACATTCTCGGTGTGGTGTCACCACAGTATGCGGCGGTACCTTGGTGGAGAGTTCATGAGGCTTCGGCAGCAAATGTTGAAACAAAAAGGAAAAACTGAAGTCATATCATTACAAGGACAGCAGTTAAGAACGCAAGGTCCTATAGTCGGTTTATTGGAAAGTGGTCGTCTCAGGCAAATGTTTTTAATACATGTTCGGTTTTAGGTAACCAACCACATGGTGCCTTAGTTTTTCAAAGTGGCATTATGTTCCATAATAATGATGTCAACCAATAAGACCTGTACGCTTAAAGTGGTTTCTGATTCAGAGCAACAGAAAAGCAGTATTAGACTTCCATGTTTGGCATCTGAACAGAACATTTCCAATGGTGCAACTTTGTGTCACTACATTCTTCTTGCCTGCATATGCATGTCTGGCAGATGAATGCAATGATGAGCAAAACGCATTCATCTGCCAGACGCACAAGCAAAGTGTACTCTGCATGGGGCAGAGTGCGCGTCCGTCGACGTCTTGACATCTTTTGTACTAGTTTAGAAAGCTTTACAAGGAGATATTTTAAAACATGATGCATTTCCTGGGCTCAGAACCACAGCGCATTTCTTTTCTAGACAAACAGACATCCCTAAAATAGTTCATAGATAAAAAGTAAAGCTATAGTCACTAAACGAGAAAACACAAAAAGTACACAAAATATTGCACATTTAACTGTATAGACGTAAACCTTGCACAACTGCCCATTTTCAGAAATGTTTTTTTTAGGTCTAAAGCTCAACCACAAACTAATGACTGGTGGAGATGATTAAGTGGGCGTTTAAGTGGGTGGTCGTGCAGGTGTGTGAACAGTTCAGGTACACCACGGAAATACTCATGTAGGTGACCCAGCTGGTTTGAAATAAAAAATAAAACCTGAAGCACATAAAGAGGGGGAAGCTACCTCGCTTCCCCCTTCACTTCCTCTGAAACAAAGGTCAGGAGTCTATAAAATAACTGTACGTGGTCAGACAACCGCTGCGCATTGAACGCGACTGGTCAGACCCCGCAGTCTGCTGGGAACCAGCAGGGAACTCAGCCGACCAGCAGAGTCAACAGACCCAGAGTCTGAATATTTCCTCTGATCGTGACAACGAAGAGTTTTCCCACGTACGAACGAACAGGAAGTGATGGAGGACGACAAAGTGTCACATCCATGGCACGTGGCAAAAAACAAAAAAACAGCATTAACATAGAACCAGAACTTTTGTTGGGTTTTCTCCTCCAAGAAATAAAAGTCGCTGTTTTGGACTTGGTGTTTATATTCAGCGCAGAATGAACTGCGCCACTATGATGTCTTGTACTTCTTCAATCACAAACTAAGTAACACACTTATCGGGGGGTGAAGTAGTTTGGACTCTACGACTCACCGACGGTGGTTACCAGAGTGTTGGCGAAGAACATGGAGGACGCCAGGTCCCAGTTGGAGACGGCGGAGGCGTTCCTGAGGACGGAGACGCCGTACTTGTTGGCCGTCAGCACTTTGAGCAGAAAGCGCTCGAGCGACGCGACGTTGACGCAGCTGTCGTTGAGGAACTCGAGCTTCAGGGCTTCCATGTCCTCGCGCAGCCGGTCCTCCGCCGGCCGCTCGAGGCTGGAGAAAACGAGCGCGCCGAAGAGCAGGTAGACGACGTAAAACAGCACGAAGCCGGTGAGCAGCAGCCACGACCTGCCTGCGGAATGCATGGCTTTTCTCTTCTCCGGGATCAGCTGCTCGCCGGGGCTTCCCTCTCCGTCTGCGACTGCGCTCTTCTTTTTCTCCTCTCTATGTGGGGGAACTGGTGATTTTTTGGGGGCTGTCCCAGCTGAACTTGAACCCCTCCCGTGGAACGCAACCTCCTCCCCCCGGGGAAGCAGCAGGGGTGTGGTCAGCTCCGAGTCCTGCAAGTCCTGCATCCTGGATCATGGGAGGAGAAAAAAAAAGGTCGCCAACTGCAGGCATCGTCACACTGCTGAAAATACTTGTTTTTCAGCATGAAAAAGGACGTTTAATTTGAAAATAAGAAATAACCATATTGTCTTCGCCTTGATAATGGGGCGTATGAAGTGCTTGCCTCAGCTACCCTGAACAAAATGATGATGAAAAATGCTGAGATATCTAAAAAAATACTTTTCTCGTATTACATGGAATGAAGGCCGTGATTTTCACACACTTGTTGAGGCTAATTTGTGAGTTTGTTGGGTCCACCGAGATAACGTGATGGAGTTTCCAACAGGTGTTGATTAAACTTCAATATACTTTTAGAAGGTGTACTTTTGAACTGGTATTGTGTTGTGCCGGGGTGTTTCCTATACCATGTCAGCTCTAAATAAAGTACCAGCACCTCTGTTTAATACAGAATACAGCACAAACGAGTCTACGATGGTCGTCAAGTTGAATGCATTTTAATAAAATATTTCATATATTAAATGTTCAATGAATGAACATATAAACAAAACCCCTCCAAAAACCTTCAGAATTTTAAATGGCATTCTGACAGTCAAGAGAAGATTTTTTGCTCAGTCTAAGAAAAAACTAATACAAAAAAATGTAAGGTCATCTTACAATCCAACTGAAAACAGAAATATAATTTTTCTTATTCATACTTGTTCATTACTGTTTTTGTAAGTTAAGCGCCAGTGTGCACCAGAGTTTCTTCTGTCTTAGGATCAGTCAGGATCAGCGTGGAGCGCTCCCATGATGGCTTGATGGCCTAATTAATTTCCACGGGCCTTTAATGTAGCACAAACGCAGAGCTGTATCAAAACTTGCTATGAAACTGGCGACATACTGCCGAGTACAAAGTGTTTAGTATAGGCAGCTCTACTATGAATATGTTTACAGGGCCAGACTTTGACATCCCTTTGAGTTGTTACAGAGATGTCCTGGGTTTGTATCTCTGTTCTGGTTGTTTTTGTGCTAACATTTCTTGTTATGTGTTTTCTCCAAATAGGAGAATCAAGCAAATAGCAGAATGTATGAAATAATACATTGATCTTGATGAAAGCACTGTGCTCACAGTATGATTTGGTTGCCTAACGCTCACACATGAAAACAATTTATTTAGAAAAACAACATGTTGTGGTTACTCCTGACTATCCCTTGGATGTGAAAAATAAGGATTCCGGGCACTCTGCTGCAAACAAGCCTGTGTTCTACTGCGCGTGCAGTACAAAGCTCTGTTTTCACTCTGCAGCCGGCAGGTTGTGACTCAGCAAATAATGTGTTGGTATCAGCATCAAGTTCAATAAAAAACATTTAATTGTCTGCACAAACTTGTGCAAATGAATATACATATAGACACATGTGAGCACGTTACATAACATGTTGTTTTCCGATAAACATGGTTGACGTTACACTGTGTGCCGTTTAATCTATTTATTAGTCTCTGTGTATTCATAGTCAGGGGGCGACAGGGCTGGTTTGCCTACCGGCTAAAAGTTCAGGCTTGTGACCAGAAGATTTCCACCAGCTCAGCTGCTATTAACACAAAATATTATTTCTTTTTTTAATCCTCTTCTTCATTATTTATTGAATAACTTAATTGATGTCTTGTCATCTGTTTCCACAAATCATTGACACAAGGATTGTAGCATTCTGAGTAATCATGCAAAAATCACGTGACAGCATAGTGAAGAATTGGAAATACGCCTAATTCTTTGCACAAGAGTCTGACTTATAATTCTTGCATTAGTCAGCCGTGTGCAACGTCTGAATACTCCTGCAGGGGATTGACATACTGTCCAAAAATCTGCATGATTTTATATAACGTGCATGTTTTAAACATATATTTATATACATATAAAAAATATATTTTCTGTTTTTTTTAAAGCAAAGGTCTCTCATTGTCAGTTAGTGAATGTGTCATTTTAAAAGCGTTGAATTCTTCTGAATGTCACCAAGAAGCGACCAGCAATCACACAGTATCGTTTTATTACGTCGGTTACCAAGGCAACTCCTTCTTTCTCATTTGAACGGATCAGAAAATATTCATATTGTTCTTTCTCAGCAATTTGTAGTTTGTACAAATGGCAGAGACACACACACTCACACGCACATGACTGATTGAGAACATCATCATGAAGTGAAATACACAGCAGAGCAAAGTACACTCTCTGAGTTGACAGGATGTATCAGCCTGTCTAAGTTCAAATTGTACAGTGCATCATTGACAGTCATAATGTGAACAATGTTCTCACAAAGAAAACATAGATTCAACTTTTCAAGTGGACTCAACTGTGAGTGTACTGAAAGAGAGGAAAGCCGCACTGAAAGACAAAGGAAAATATAGAAATATCGCGTGTCAAAATTTGGAGTTTGAGTCCACTTGATCGTGTTTGAGAAACAAGCGGCGACGTTTCCTCCTGAACCGGTCTGCTTCGGTCCTCGTAAACATTGGCACTTTCATCAGCGTTCCTGTTGGCACTAACTGGAAGACAAACTTATTTCTCGGAGGACCCAAATCATTTTTTTAAGGACTCATTTCCGTCGCTATTCTGTGGCAAAGTCCCAATAAAACAGCACATGCAACGCTCTGCAAAATGTAAAAGAAAAAGATGTGAGATGCATTTTCAGCCTCCTGAAAGTAAAAGCAATACCCTGCAGATGGATCACATGACTCGTGTACCTTCTATCATTCAAAAGCAGGAAAGGGGCGGGGGTGAGCCTTGACATGCAGCTGACATTATTGGTGGAGACGTGTTGTACGGTGGGTTTCTCTTCGGAGTTGACATGTTACGTGTTCTTGCGGTTATGAGGTGAAAGACAGAGTTGAGTGTAAGCAAAAGGCAGTTTTCTTTTTGCGGAAAAAACTAAACCGGTGGAGCATTTCTTTTTCTGTATTTGAAACTATTACTGTAAATTTAGTTTTTACAGGAAGTGGCCTTGTATTAGACTTTAAAATACAGAGTAGCTCAAAAAAGGTAGAGCTGCTCAAGGAGAAGAATAAATCTCATTGAGTTGAGAAAACTCATGTTCTGGATCATGTTTAGCAGAAGGTAAGATAAAAAGTGAAGGAGAAACGGGTATAAAATGTTTGATGAAACCAATACAGATAAGATAGAAAGCAAACGATTTACTTGAATCATTCATTCAAGTCAATATTTTGGTTTGGCTCAACCCACTGAGATTTAATCCGACCATGAGGCAAGAAATCTGTCTGTGTGACCTTCGCATTTCTAGGGAAGACTCACTCTGATCTACTTTACACTTGGTGGGGTTTTCTGGGGTCCCCATAGAGTAACGTGTTGACTTTGTAGCAATTTCGAACACCCAGATCTTGAAAAAATTAAATAAATGCTCTGCAGCAGCGGCGGAGGAGCTTCAGGGCTCTGCAGGCGTTGGCATGTCACCAACAGGCCCGCTGACCGGAGCTCAGTCATGCTGCCGGACGCTGGATGTACTAAGCTCACAAACATACTCTTCTTCACTTGCCCGCAGCACTTACCAGACCTGGATACAAGCAATGAGCCAACACCTAAACAGGGACAACCCAAAAGGGTACTTCCCTAGTTCTAACATGAGACAAGTCCCACACAAAACAGCAGCTTTGACACAGATAGAATTGTTCTGTTAAGGTACAACTTCAGGTAATAAGTGAACAGGAGGGGAAAACCCCAGGTTGATTATAAATTAGTTAGTTGACATAGTTACAACCTCGTAGCTACATGTCATGACACAAACAATCTTTGACAGCCGGCTGTAATCAAGCTCGACGTGGAAAATGAGACTAGAAAGGTGGTGGTGTTGGTGGTGGTGAACACAGTGGCACATAATGGAAACACTCCACCAGTATACATCAACGGGATCCAGAGGAGACAACTTCTGATACCAAAGAGTTGCTCAGTTTTCCTCCAGGTTGTTTCTACTCACTGGCTCAGGTTTAAACAAACAGGGAGAGTGCAAAGAGTCAAAAGGTCAGTCGATATTTGACTAGCAGATAGTACGTGTTGTCTACATGACATGTGGTCCGACACGACGGGGTTAAAAACCCTGCAGCTCTTCGGGGAAACATGGATGAATCACAGTCCAGCCATAGCTGAGCCTGTTACTCCGTGACGTTTTTGTTGAAGTCGTAGGACAGCCGTCGCTTAGCTGCGGCATTCTGAGCGTGCCGATTGGCTGAGGGGAGGCCGGGGGAGAGGTGGCGATTGGCGGCCCGGGATGCAGTTCTGCTTTCCTGCAAAGACGAGAACGACGCGTAAGCGATATTAGACAAAGTGAACACCTGCTAAAATGTAACTGGATAAAGTGCTGAAGTGATGCGTTCAGTCACCAATGTTTTTTAGAAGTTAAATTAGATTAAAAGTTTTACAACATGTTAGTATAATAATAGCTTCAGTGGCCTTCAGGTGTCTCTAGAGCACCGGTTTGTCCGTTCTGAGCTACTGTCGAAAATTTGCGGTGAAACAAGAAGGACTTGAAGGTGTATTCAACAACAATTCTTAGTTTCAGCTGATTATTCACTGACAAAAACATAGTTAGGAAGTTTACATTCCATTTCTGCTGAAAGATCCCCTAAATACTACACAGGGGACCGCTAATTATTTAATCAACAAAATATATCATCGCATATATTTGATCAGCAATAAATCATAATTAAATGAAGTTTCAAAATATGCCCTAAATATTGTAAAGCTGTGATGGGCTTGATCAATCCACTTTAACACAGTATTATTATGAAGTAGAACATATCCAATGCAGTAATTTTAGCCGATTTACACATTGATTACGAATAAATTATAATATGTTGAAAGAAAAGTCATGATTAATAGATAAAACAACAAAACGTGTTAGGAAGGAAACTGGAAGAGGTGTATCTTCCCCTATAATGCTTCATCAAAGAGAACTGTGAGACCAGCCGGCCTGGTGCACTCGTTAATCCGCCGCTTGCAGGAGTGTTTTGCATAGAAAAGCGGTCACTTCATTTGAATGGAGCCGCAGGTTTCATCAGTCAAACTGCACCGTCCGGTCATTTGACCATCTACGAAGGCAAGTCCCGACCAATTCTATCTAACAACCTTGAAGCTTAACAGCCTCAAAACGGAACGCTAAGCACTCTGTGATAATCCCTCTGCATGAAATGTGTATCCGTAGGAAGGGTGTTTGTGTGTGTGTGTGTGTGTGTGTGTGTGTGTGTGTGTGTGTGTGTGGAGAGAAAAATCACTTCACATAACATTCAATTTGCTGCGTTTTCTCACAGAAGGCTGAAATGTCCGGAGCCATTCCGGGGTCAGAGATGATACTCACAGAGCACGGCGGCTCCAGGTGTAGAGACCTCAGCAGCAGGTCACGAGACACGCCGCTCGCTCTCCTGTATCTCTGGCAAATCATTTTGTTCAAGTCGTGGAAACCGTCCAACAGCCTGTGGGGTCAAAGAGAACAACGATGATGCAATGGTTTAGTGGATGTTGTTTTCCTGTCCCGGAGGGACAGAGGATGTGAGAAAAACGTCAGACGAGATCAGACAAAGTCGTCATTCAGCGAGAGCTGAATGACACACAAATGCTGAAACACAAATGCTCATTAATCAGGAATGTTGTTCAGAACTTCATTATAACACTTTATAATTATCATATAATATACGCTGTATTTGATAACCAGTCATGCACAGCACAGTGCGTCTGTCTATAGCCGTATATATAAATAAGTATCCATGTCCTATTTTCAGAAATGGTCTTCAGCGCTTCCTTTTACCAATTCACCACTTTCACCACATGGTGGTCGCAATCCACATAACTTTACACAACCTCATTTCCAAAATAAATACACATTTCAAACAAAACTCCAAAAGAGGTTTTAGTTTGAAATGTACTTCTTTCCAAAAGGCTCTGGTTCATTATTGCACAACTCTGACCTAATTTGAATGTAAATATGTAAAGAAACAAATAAGCAGATGCACATGGGGAAATGTTTAACACTTGCAATGAGCAATAATTTATGATTTACGATTTCTTTCTGACAACTCGGGAGACCCTGGAAACTCACACAGCAAGTATAAAACTTTTGGTGTCTGATTTACAGTCATTAAAAAAATCCCATTTAACAGCTGCACTAATATTAATATTAATAACGTCTAATACAAAACTATTTTGAATGAGGTGTTTAAAATGGAAATGCCCTCTCAGACTACATACAACCAGTGAAGTAGGTTAAGTAAGCTAATCAATAAGGTTATCAATAAACTCAGTAAATGTTAGCTCTGCAAAGTTTGGAGATATAACTGAAATATACGTTCTCTCATAAGTAAAGATGCTGTGGAGAGGAGCTGTCACCAAAAATACAGCTTACTGTATGTGAAGCACACTGAGGGATGTTTTCATTTTGATATGTAGTAATGTCTCAGGGTGGGACGGGGGGAAACATCCTCAGATGGGCTTAGAAAAATAGCACAATGACGCTAAAAGATACCGACTTGGCCCAAAATGTGAATTTTCGGATTTGAATACATTATGAACTACCACTGGACAGCTGCAAAATTAAATAAAATCCTAAAAAATAAATTAAAATGCTGCATTCATTTCCTGTCAGATTTACTGTAAATACAAGCTTCTGACAGAAACAATGGTCAACTTAACTTTCCTTAAGCTGTTGACAAGCATGTTGTGTAGTTTTTTTTTCTGTAGGCTCCTAAATATCCCATGGGAATAATGTGTAAACGCTGCTATCAAATATACGGAGAATCCAAAATGAACCGGCTTTAATAACGGCAGATGGTTCACCTACCCCAGGTCATGGCTGGCTCGTGCCCTAAAGAGCTGGGACAGCGTGGGGACAGTATGTAGGTCACAGGGGTCATCTGAGGACGGACAAGGCGGCGAGGGGAAGGCTTCACCAAAAACAGACTCCTACGGAGAGGTGGCGGGAGACAAAGAGACCTCATCAGTTCCACCACAGAGTTTTGCAGCCCTCTACAGTTCAACAAAATATGAAGCAAAAGGCCTCTTTGTGGCACTGCAAGCACAAGTCATTAAAGCACTTTTCTCCCAAAACTGCAGCTTTCCACAGAACTTTTTCATCTGCATCTTTTTGCTGAGTTTAATGTCCACTGGGAGACTCTGCCTGCAGTTTTCTTTTTTTTTTAAACCATTTTTAGAAAAGAAAGTACTTACAGCAAAGAAATAAGAATTTTGAGGGTGAAAATATAGTCAACCAATTCCCAGGGCTACGGCAGGGCCAGCTGTGTTTCTATGGTGATGGTGCAGGAAACTGGAAAAGCTCGTAATTAGTTCTAGATTTAGTAGATTTGAATTTCCAACATTTTTGCATAGCACCAAACACAAGGTACAGCCGAGTCCGAGTCGAGGACGTTCATACACAAAATAAACGACGCCCCAAATCCTGAACAAATAATAATTACCTAAAATTATTCATGAGCAGTTTTTGGACACAACTGGTTTAGCGTATTGGGTGGCTGTTTTCTTGTGTAAACTGCCCTGATAAATATGGCCTGGATTTATAAACTGAAAATATATTAAATTCACTGGGTTTATATTGTCTTCACTGATTTAGTTTGCGGGCCTCAGGGGCCTTGGAGGCCAGCAGCGAGCTTGTGTCAACGCATTTACTCCTCAGCTCGAAGTCATGTGAGGACATTGTTGTGTTTTCACAAGCAGAAAGATTTCAGGTCAACCTACTGAGCGGATGGAGCTATGACAAATAATCTATTTGCCACATTGGGATTATAACGATAGAACCAAAAGGTTGGCCCAAATCTTGGAACATGATGTTGGTTGGCAGTTCGTTTCGGAAGCACTTCCTTCAATTCATTTCTATGAGCAGGAGCATTTTAAACATCAGTATTGCAGTCGATCTTGTTCATTTACTCGTAAGTCCAAATTGTGATTGATACATTTTGATTAATCTCATAATCACAATAAATAAATGATCCATATGAAACAACCATGTTTTGGAATACTTGTTTCTGAATAGGATTAGACAAATGGGAAGTACTTAACATTTGACATAAATAAATCAATGATCTAGCTGTCAGTCCCAGCCAGTAAAGCTAAGCCACAATGACACGGTTGATCCAGAAAGAAGACACAAGGGTGAATTTTCTACTGCAACCTCAAACGCGCTTCGTAAACAAATGAAATCTTACCAGATTCTGGTTGGCCGAGAGTCTGCTCTTTTCCAGGGCGCTGCTTGGCCACCATTGTGCCACCCCATCGCTACCTTCACCTGACGAATCCTGAGAAAAGGCTGTCCAGGTGTCGTCCGATTGGTGGAAAGAGCTGTCCGTCCAGCCCGGCGTCCAGTGGTTTCCAAGTGCTGTTTTTAAAACACAAACATGGTTAATATTAGAGTGCACCGTCTCTGTTGTAGACGTCCGTGTAATGTTGTGCGGTGTGTTTCCACACGACTTTGCCCTCATTCTGATCACCTGGACAGACGACCTACAGAACATTGCATTGAAGACGTTTGCTAGGAACAGAGTGCTAACAACTGGCACCTATAATCATAACTTTGTCTATGCCATTGTTTTCAATCAAGATGAATCATTAGATTTGCTAATTAAGAGGGTTAATTTAAGCAAACGGCAAAGACACTCCAGTACTCCCAGCTTTCCCAGCAACGTCCCAGTTACAATATAAAGTAATTGCACCGAAACATTTTGATAGATTTAAAAGAAGAATATAATGACTTTTTCACAAGCCAAACAATAATTTTGTCTAAAAGTCCCCACCGAGTCATCATAAGTGTTGATTATTTTACTCCTCAGAGATCAGTCACAGGAACATAAGTTGGAAGTAGGTGTTGAATCCGTATCGGCAAAACCCTTAAGACTCGACATCAGAGTATCCATCAAACCTGGGCTTTCGTTTTTAGCAGCAGTGTATGACGAGTTAATCGTTACCGTTAATCAGCTTGTTGCAAGGAAAGAAGTAAGTGAATGTTTGGGTCTCATTGTGTGGTTGGTTTCTGCTGCCTAGGCGCCATCTAACCCTCCATTGCTGAGATATTGCACAAATTATCTCTGACACTTGAGTTGCCTTTGTGAGATTCTTTCTTCCATCCATTGCTCCATTGCCTCAGGCATAGAAGGAGCCCAGTGTCCCGGGCCCTCTTTTCTGCCTCCTCCTTCCTAAACCCAACTCTGAATGATTAATACCACGTAGCCAGAATGACGGATTGGTTAGGAATTCAGGTCAGGAAAGCGTAGAGTCTAATTTCTATTGCAGGGCCAAGTGTGCTTACAAGACCGAGAAAGGTTTCTCCATGATTCTCCATTACTTATTAATCATTTTAAGTTTCACACAATTAAATAATGTTTTAGTTCCATAGTGACTAACCTATTGAAGGTTCATTACTTTACTCATGTGACATACCTGTGGTTCTGCATCGGTTCAACACATTGTCATTCAAAACTCAAATACGCGTCAAACTATAACCCTCTAGGTCTGCGTCCGGCATCAGTTATGAACGTGTGAGGAAAGGCGTGTCAGTTTCAGCTTGTTGCATGCATTGATCTCTTACACAAACATCGGATGTCATGACCCAACCAGTCTGACCTATCTAACTATCCACCCTGACCTTCTCTCAAACTGGTACTGAAACTGAAATAAACAATGAGTAAACAATGGGAGTTAGCCCCGTTTGGCCCGGAAGTCTAAAACCGGGCTTAGTTAATTAGCTAAAAGGGAGCATAAGGACTGATTAACACAGAAAAGGCAAAAGAGTCAAAGACGTCACGCAATCAGCTGCATCTGTGTTGAGTGAATAAGAGCCAATTCAATTTGTCAGATCATTATTTTAATCAGTCGACATTCTTGCTCAGAGCTCTGTGGAGGATTCTGACACCATTTGGTTACTTATTTATTTGTGTATTTATTATTTAGCAGTTTTGAAAAACAGAACTATACCATTTCAAGATTTTCTTTCCAGGTATTGACATTGTTAATTTGTTTTGTTGTTGCCATGGAGAAGAAGTGTGGGAAAGGTATAAACTTTATCTGAGTTTGAGAACATCACACCATATAATTGTTTCTGAATTGTGTTACAGTTATTGCATCACCGTAACCTTACGTAACATCATTTTAAAACGTCTCCTTGTTTACCGCAGAACGATGCTGTGGCTGCTAATTCATGCTGTAACATATGGAAGAACCCATTCACATTTTAACACACAGCATGGTTAACACAGCAGAACGATTAGCTGTGAGGTAAAGAGTTCATGTGATGTGGTGTAGCCCTTAGAAAGCTGTGTGTGTGTGCGTGTGTTTGTGTGTGTGTGTGTGTGTGTGTGCGCATTCCTGAAACAGCACAGAAGATTAAAAACGCACCAACACTCTGAGCGAGTTTGAAAGTGTCTCTAAATCTGTACGTTTCAGACGTCTTTAAAAGACTTCTTTGACTTCTAAAGCCTTTTAATAGTAGTTGCCTTTAACCAAAAGATCCTCTGTCCCGTGTCCATGTCAAACCAGAAAGGCAAAGTAACTTAAGCTCCCGGACAGGAGAGACAGAGGCTAAAGGGAGCGAGAGAAGGGAAGGCCGGCCAGGAGACATACAAAGAGACTAACAATTGTGAGACTCACCAACACGTTCTCGGCTCCCACGAGGCACTGAGGCAGACGTGGCGTGTTCGTCACTCCAGGCCGGCTCTCCCTCCGCCTGCAGGAACACTCCAAACTCATCTTCCTCGTCCCTCTCCTCCTCAGTGGCCACGGTGGAGCCCCTCTCCTCGCCCTGCTCCTCCAGTCGTCCCCCTAATCTCCCGTTGCCTTCATGGCCTCCTTCTTGGTCTCGGACCGGCACTCCCAACCCTTCCTTCCCCTTTTCCTCCTCTTCTTCCTCCTCCACCGCCTCCAGACAGGGCAGGCAGGTTGCCATGGATCCCAAGGGGGGCAAAGTGGGGGCAGGATTAGCCAGGGAGGGTGCAAGAGTGGTGGAGGGATCGGCACAGGCGGCATTAGTGACGTTCGCTCTCGCCTCTTCGTTTGCTTCAACGTGGTTGATGCATGTCTGTTCGCAGCGGCCTCTGACCTCTTTCTGCCGCCCCCTGCGATCATCTACTAACTCCACTGACCTACATTTGTCTTCCCCTGCACAGTTTGACATTGACCCTCGTCTATGACTGTCATTTCTGGCCATGCTGCCATCGCCTTTTCCGTCACCGTCGTCCAGCTCGCTGCAAATGCCCCCCCTCCGCCAAATCGCTCCAGCTTCAACTCCATTGTCAGGATTTACTCTCTCCGGCACATTCGCTTCCACGTTTGCTTCCTGCGCCAGCTCTTCCCTCCGCTCTGCTCTGGTAAGTCCAGTTGTACAATAGTTGCACCTGTTTCCTGTCACGCTCCTCGGCTCTTTATCAAAGAGGGAAGGATCTCCGCGTATTTGGGGCAATGATGAAGCTTCTCTCTCCTCTGGCTGACTGCCGTTCAACACATTTTGGATGAAAGACTGGGCTTTTCCGCTTGTGCTGTCGTTCACAGTGTTGTTCTCGTCAGCCACAAGGGTCACTTCTTGTTGCTCAAGTCTGCTGACAACTACATTGTCTGTACCAACGATCGTTGGCTCTTCACTGTAGTTTCTCTGCACTGTAGTTTCAAGGGAAACTAAAGTGCTTATGGAGGAAGCGCAGGCGGAGACGGGGACGGGCTCATACCGGGCAGTCGTGACAGAGAGTTCAGCCGAAGTCTGATTTATCCTTCCTTCCTCGTCTTCATGATCAACGTTCTTCAGCTCTTTCATTGATTCTTGATCTGCTTCCACATTATGAGGAAAAGTCAAAGTCATCAGCCACCTGTCTAGAGTGGCCATGAATCAAATCATTATTTCCAGTAAGCATTTTCAGAACCTCAGATTTTGTATCCTGCTCTTTCTCTGAATAATTATCCTTTCCTCGAGAGGTTTGCGTCCTCTGCTCCTCGTTGCTCTCGGCTTTTTTAATCTCTTCAGCGCCACGGCCGCTGTGGGATTCTGGAAGAAAGGGTTCAGCTTCTAGGTCACGGTTTGGTTCAGCCAACTGTGAGTTGGGTGACTTTAACTTGCCTCCCTTCTCCTCCTCCTCCTCCTCCTCCTTTTGCCTCTGCTTCCTCATTCCTTTCCCCTCACCGTTTGAGGCTCCTCTTGTAGGACTCTCCCCTCCATCGCATTCATCCTGGCTTTCCTTCCTCGGTGCTCTTTTTCCACACTGAGTACAGCTTTTGGGAGCAGCACTGTGGCAGCATCTTGGACTTTTGCACGCTTCCTCTTTCTCTCCTCTGGGAGAGTGTTTACCGGCCAGGCCCCCTTTGTCTCGCTCTTCCTGCCTTTCTTCCAGAGTGAATTCTGCAGCAGGATCCTCCCTGACACCCTGCTGCCTCTTTCTGTTCACGTCTGTTTTCTCCCGGGCTGCTGGATTGCTGGACTTCCTCCATCTCCGGCCGGATCGCACCCTCACCCGGTTTACTCCGTTATGGGCCGGCGGAGTCAGTCCGTGGTCCCTCCTCCCGGCTGGGATGTCTCTGCCTCCTCCTGTCTTCCCCCTCAGCCATCCCCCCACCACGCTGGAGGCTGCGCCGGCAGTCACAGCGGACCCAGGCTTCGCCGTGGAGTACAAAAAGCTCCCTTTCTCAGTCCGGAGGAAGAGGCATTGGGTCTGTGTCTTCCCGCTGCCCTCGGAGGTCTTCAGAGTGGCAACTGTGACCAAAGATCCGATCCCAGCCTGCCTGGCATCCAGCCCCAATGGAAGGCCGTACCCCATGCAACCCCACTCCCTGTTAAGGTACACATCCGCAGGCCGGGTGCAGGAGGTCGAACCTCCACGGCCCGCAGGAGAAGTTATGGGCGCTTGTCCCCCACTCAGGAGACCACCAGCCTTCCGGCGGTTCTTGGAGCACAGGGCCCAGGCTCGGAGGCCCCGGATTAGCGGCAGATCTCCAAGGCCCAGCTCCATTCGGCTGGGGAAGGGCAAAGAGGCTCGGGAGCACTTCTGCAGCATCTCCCTGGTGGAGGCCGACACATTCAGGCAGGGGTAGTTGTTGTTGTTGTTCTGCTGGAGCATGCTGCTCGTTGTTGGCCTCATCTATGTTCTATCGGTTAGTCCGCACTTATGCTTTGTTAAGATTTAGCCTGTTGGGTCTTCTATTTTGTGAGCGAACGCTGGCACTGTCAAGAGTCTATTTTTGATTCTGTGACAGCGCAAAGGTAAAAATATCATAGTTTAGAAAAAAGTAGCTAAGCATTACGAAATAGCTGAAATTCTTTTGAGTAATTCTTACTGATTAGTTTACTTGACAGTGCAAGAGAGAGCTGAATCTCGCCAGTCTTTTAACAGAACGACCTTCTGTCAATAACTGAGTTTTGGGACAATAAAAAAGGAAAAAAGAACCCTTTTCCTGACTGCAAGATAGAGTTGTGCTTCTGTTTTCACTTTAACGCTCTCTAACTTTGAGAGTCTTCTGGCGAAAAAAAACAACCTTGCCCAGGTCAGCCATCCAGCCGTCAGCTCTGATAACCAAGAGGATAATAAGAAGTTTGATTCTCAGGATTGATGTTCAGTAAAACGGTCATCAGAGCTTCACCGTCCTCGCCGTCATAAAACAACCTGCAGGGAAGAGGGACAAAACAATGAAATTAAAATTATGTGATGCATGCATTACTTCCCTGATTAATTTGAAAGTAATTAAGACAGATTCTAGGTAATTAATAAACGATAACAAATGTTGAAAACCGTTTAATTTCTCATCCTTAATTAACACCACAAAGAGGTGATTGGGATCCACTTTGAGGAGCCTAACTGGATTACAGCTATCATGTCCACGGGGCAGCGAGTGTGTCAAAGGTCACACATCTGACACAGACTACTTAAACACAATAAAGACACATTATTCATGTGCATTCACAATCATGTCCATCGTGGTGCCGATTAGATCAGTTGTTGCATCAGCAGCGCATAATCGTCGCATAGATTACGAATAAAACATCGTGCCCGTCTATGCGTTCACTGATCATGCCTAAAGAGTTTAACGGATTTAATTCACATAAATAGGCTTGGACCACGCATATTAACAACAGCCACAGCTGCCGCTGTGATGAAGATGAACCACATCAAAACCACACGCCACCTGGAAAATCGGCATCTCCAGCCAGCGTGTCTTGAGAGAAAGCGATGCACGAGGAAAGCCTCGTTTGTCTCTCACCTTCCTCGACGCTTCGGTGTTTCTGGTTCGGGTTTGGAAAGAAGCGTCCTTTACATAATATGTCGCTGATTCGTCGCTGTTTGCAGACAGGTCCTATTCCTCCCCTCCTCGCGCCGTGGAGCGTCCTTCACTGAGATCAGCCACCCATCGTCCATCCAGGCGGCCTGCACCACTGGCGCTTCGGGGAGTACAAATGAGTCAAACACGCATCGGCTCCTGTCCCCTTCCTCGGTATTAGAGTCGAGCACCGCGGTGGAATCCTACTTCGGTCTCTGCTCCCTCCGCTCCCCTCTCCGCACTCGTGCGGCCATTGCGCATCATCTCATCCTCCGCGGCGGGGCACAGTGCGTCGCCGCATCGTACCGCAGTAGCCTCCGGTGCGCTCAGCCAGCAGGATGACGGAGAGCTAATTCCACTTGCAGCCCACTCATCTGTAGGAGAGGCGATTCGTGCCGCGCAGAGCGGAAGTGTACGCGGGGTTGTGATGTCATAGAGGAGAACGCAAGCACGAGCCTCCACGGATAGATGTGGTATATTAAGCATAGCTCCAGTTGGTAGTATTTGTATTTGCTTCCCAATCAATGTTCTTGTGATGGGATTATAAAACAACTTGAAAAATGTATTGAAAATAGTGTTGCAGACTAAAGATGGCGAGGTCGATTTTCTTACTAAACTAAGGCTGTAGGACTTTGAATGTCGTGCATAATCTTCCTTTAGTAGGCTGTTGGATGTGATGAGAGGCCACCTGAAAAGACAAAATAAGACACCGCTACTTATAAACAGTGTCTCAGTTTTTGAGTCTGAAGTTAAGCTCTTCAAAGTCGGCTCCATCATACTGTGATATTAAAACACACAAAACAACACGTGTTGACACTGCGGTCGCTTGCGTCCCCCCTCTTTGTGGCATTGTTTGCTCCTCATACACACACACTCTCTCTTTCAGCCTCCGTCGAACAGCATCATCACAGCAATAGATAAGTATACTGACAACACACACGCGCACACGATGGAATGACGTCACGTACCCGTGTGCATATCACTTTCTCAAAGGGTCCGTGGACGTTTTGACAGTCCGTTTTACCGTGGAGTCCTGGATGCTAAACGATTTCTGAATGTATGGAAGTCTATATAAATAGGACACTACTTATGACTCGATTTATTACCATCATTACATTACCCGCAAATGTAGTCTTTACACGGGAACGCCCACTTCTTATTCTCCTCTTCTCTTCTTCTAGAATGGAAATTGAATTAGAAAAGGTTGCGTATGTATTGCTGAACATTTATACTTTCATAAATGAATCTCGTGCATATGATTCCAAATACATACAAAGTTTAGATACATATGGGAGTGTTTCACATATATTATATGTTGTGTGGACAATTTTCACTAGTACGTGTAAGAGCTTTTCATTAGTGTGTATGAATGAAATCACACTAGCATACAGAAGGTATCTCACTTACACCAGAAGGTGGAAGCAAAGAGGGCAGGTTTTGAACAGTAAAAATTACTAATGGTATTAGCACTACAGTTGATATTACTAGTAATACTACTAACACTACTACAATTTTTCCCATTGCTATTAATACTAAAACTACTAATACTTCTTCTACTGCTAGTACTACCAGTACCACAACTAATACTACTGCTAATATTACTACATAGCCATTTTTAAGAATTCATCTCATCTTTTCTCATTTCTGTATTTTCAGCAATGTTTTTACATTTATTTCAGCTTTTCTTATTTCTGTATTTACATAATGTTTAAAAAATTCGCTCCAGCTTTAGCTGTTTCTGTATTTTCAAAATTCTGAAATTCATTTCAGCGTTTTTCATGTCTGTATGTTCAGCAATTTTCTGAAATTCATTTCAATATTTAGCATTTTTCTTTTCAGATATTCTAATTTCGGTGTTTTCAGCAATTTTTTTAAATCCACTTCAGCTTCTGCCATTTCTGTATTTTCTGAAATTAAAGAGGTTCTCGTGGACCTGGAGCCCAATGTCATCGGTCAGTGTCATCAATTCTAGCTGAGCAATAATTTGGGAAAATTTAATTTAAGTGATAAAATATTTTTGTCTCTTCAGATGAGGTGGACAGGGGGACTTACTGCCGCCTGTTCCACCCTGAGCAGCTGATCACTGCTTAGGAGGATGCTGCTAACAATTAAGCCTGTGGAAACAATATCACAGGCGTAGTGCTGGACAGGATTCCCAAGCTGGTGGGTAACTTGATATCTGAGGATCCATCGTTGGATTCAAATAAAATGACAGTATCTCACGTGTGATCACTGTCTCCTGCCACAGTCTGACCAGCTCCAGAGGTGGGACCGGCTTCACCTCTCCCCTGATGGAGCATCTGTCTGTCGACTACATCCTAAGTAAGTCCAAGCTGGAGTTCTCCATCTACCCACCGTCCAACGCTGTGGTGGAGCCACAACTCCATCCTGACCACCCACACCACCCTGGGCCACTCACACTGGACAACTCCTGCTTTGAGCCAGCTAATTAATTTGTGAAATGCAACCCTCGCTGCGGCAATACATTACATGTCATTTAGCTGAAGCTTTTATCCAAAGCGACTTACAATAAGTGCATTCAACCATAAACCACAAACACAGAAGAAAAAGAAACAAGAAAGTGCAATTGCATCAAATGAGCCAATTTACATTTTCTATAGATAAGAGCCATTATAAGTACAATTTAAGTGCTACAATTTGTTAGTCTTTTAGTCGAGGTAGAGTCTGAAGAGGTGTGTCTTTAGTTTGCGGCGGAAGATGTGAAGGCTCTCTGCGGTCCTGATGTCTTCAGAGAGCTCGTTCCACCATTTTGGAGCAAGGACAGCAAAGAGTCGTACATGGGGCGCTTCCTTTCGTACCGTGATGATGTAATGCCTAAAGATGTGAATGCGGCCAATACCACCATCACACCAAGCGCTCCATCCAGTTTGTGGACTCGTGCCCCACTGGTTTCAAGGCCGAGATCCAGTATCAGCCTGCAACTGCAGTTCCTGGTGGAGACCTGGCCAAGGTCCAGAAAGAAGGTCAGCGTGCATGCTGAGCAACACCACTGCTATTGCAGAGGCCTGGGCTCAGTTTGATCTGAAGTACGCTACGCGTGCCTTTGTTCACTGGAATGTGCGGGAGGGTATGCAGGGGGGAGAATTTTCTGAGGCCAGAGAGGATTATGAGGGGGTTGGAGGTGATAGCGTGGGAGATTAAGAGGAAAAGGGGAAAGACTATTAATCACACCTGAACACACACATTTGATGGGGACTGATTTCATATGATTTGACTGCAGAGATCTTACTTGCTTTTGTCTCTTGGGGGCAGTCAACACAAGTGTGGCAATCTACAAAAAGTGTGAATGGGTTGAGAGTAACTACTTTTACAGCATCCAATGTTCCTCAGTGTGCCGTTTGAATCATCATGTGTGATTTTGTCAGGATCCCACCAGCTTCACTCACTCCTCCCACTCGTTCACAGTCACCATCACCTGCACATCATCAGTCACCTCCCTTTATATTTGAATCCTCTTCCAGCCTGATCTCCAAAACCTGTTCGTAAAGATGTATACGAAAATCTTGAAGATACAAATTCGTAGTGATACATACTAAATAAATACGGACTGCAACTGATGACGTCACCCTATTCAAAGTGAATGGGGACCTGCACCCCGTAAACACACTTCGTGAAGTCTAACGATGTAAAATAAACGTGTTATGATTGTATTTTTAAACGAGAAATCAATGTTAAATTGTAAGAATACAATACTAACTCTAACCTCCTGAAAAAATCCAACATGGCGGAGAGACGTTCACTCAAGAATCCAACACGGTGGAGAGACGTTCACTCAAGGGGCGTGGTTAACCCCCGCCAGTTAGTATGTATTGTTACGAATTTCTATGTCAAATATTTCGTATACATTTTTACGAACAGGTTTTGGAGATCACGTTGCCTCTTCACACACTGGTCTGGTTTGAGTGTCTGGTCTGGTCTCTACAGGACACCACAGACTCTAACGCTACGTACCTGAATCCCTACCGGCTGCTCCAAGGGACTCTCCTCCAGTCCGTAACCTGGAACTCGGACTACCCTCCAGTTAACGTTCCATCCTGATCATCTGCCTGCCTATTCATTATATATCCGTCTGGTTCCGCTATCTTGTCAATAAACTATTGTACTTACCTCACGGCTGTCTCTTGTACCCCATTCGTGACAGATTTGAAGTCTGGTCTAACTGAGCTGTTATTAAACAAACTTGTGCGTGGTATAAACTAGGGCCGAGGAGAGCGATGGGGGGTGTGGGGGGGGCCCATGCAAGCTGACAGCTGGATGAAAATATTGTGATGAGTGACACTCTATCATGGAAAAATGGCTTTAAAGGTGGACTTTACAGAGGAAATATGATCTAAAAGTGAACAGTCACAACTATTATCATTTAAAAAAATTGATTCATGCAATATCCTATATATCATTGTATATATATTATGCATAGAACATCAGATATTGTGTATCAGATGTTATATATTTATAATTTAAAAATCAATAATATGCATAAAAACAATAGACAGAAAAATGTCCAATTATTGAAGACTGTTTTATCAACAGGGACACATGCCTTGGTCCTCTTGCTCTGCCAGTCAGTCTTTAGAGGACATGTTTTGTTTTGTGAAAGCCTTTATAACACATCAATGCCCACTACTCCTTAGCCAGCATGTCATTGAAGCAGCAGTAAGATTGTTTTAAAGGTTTATTTGTTTTAAGAGAAAAAGGGAAAATGGTTTACAGTTTTTTAAAACTCTTCTCACATATTGTTGAAGTGCCAAACAGCAACTCTGAACACACAAATTCACAGTGTCAAAGTTGAATAACATGTGCATATGTCAAGAGGTGTATTGTGGAGCTAAAAACCTCTACCACAAAATGTATAGTGGCGTCCTTTCTCGCAGTTTACAGTAAAAACATTGATATAAAAACGACTAGCAGCATGGTGGCCTACAGTAAATGATGGAGAGCGTAACCAGAAGGTCACAAATTTGATCCCCACTGCAGAAAAAGAGTCCAGGGTGTCCTGCCTACTCACTACGACTATGTCTGGGTAACAACACCAGCTAAAGGCTTAAAATATAAAACTATGGCAGTAAAGAATAATAATCTATAATCTCAAAAAGCTCACACCTTTTCTCCAAGACACACAGTATAAGATCAGACAACGTATAATTTCTTCTCCTGAATGGGGAATATGAAAATTGTGAATTGTCAAAAAAGCCATATCATAGTTGTATTTACATTCATTTTACTCTGGCCTATACTGTAGTGGTTCAAAATGTATTGACTTGAATGAATCCCGGTCAAATCCATGATGCTAATATGAGTAAAAGACTAATTTGATCACATTTTTAACACACAAATAACAATAAATAATAATAATTCTTCAAAACACAATAGGGCTTTCGCCCGACTTGCAGTCGGCTCAGGCCCTAATAAAGCAATGTGACATGTTTACATTCAAAACTTTCAAACCAAACAAAGTCTGATAAATAATTAGGACAAAACTGAAGAACAGAAACAAAAAAATATCACATTTAAAATGCAAAAAGGAAGCATATATTACTTTCATAATAATGTATAATAATTAATAATGACAATATTGCTGATTGACCTAATTTCATGGTTTTTCATTACAATCACAGTTAGGGTTATTGAAATATAAATGAAAGACTTTTACTTTTTCACGGGTTTCCCCGTTGCAGGCCAAGCATACAAGAACACTGCAACCTTACCAAAGAAAACAAGAAAATCACAAGACATTTAAGATATCATTACACCATCCTCAGAACTTGAAGTCCGACACCTGGTGAGTTGTTGTCGTGGTTGCAGAAGTTTCCCCTGCTTGCGTTTCGGTAGTAACCACGTGCCGGGTGATTCTGGTGGTCTTGGTCACCATGGAGGAGGAGACACGTTGCTCTTCTGACATTTCCTGGGAGGTTAAATCGAGCCCTGAGGTGTGGAGGCAGAAAGATCCCAAGACGTCCACCTCACCTCCAACCTCCCCCTTCCGCTGGGCTTGAGGTGAACCCTCTGGGGTTATTTGGAGGAAGCCTTTAAGCGGATGAAACGGAAAGAAGCGAAGTCAAGTAGAAGAAAGGAAGCAAGGAGAGGGCAGCTGAGGGGAATAGATGAAGGAATCGAGAAGGAAAAGACTAGTGGTCTTGTGTAGCAGAGACAAAACAGGAAATGATAGATTCATCATTTATAGAATCAAACAAAGCAAAAGAAAATCACCGGCCATAGAACCAATATGCATGACATTATAGATATGTCCGATGCATAATGCAGTGCATATTGTATTAAAGTCTATGATAAAATAGTTAATAATTATTCCTGTTTCAAGTATAAAACAAACTTTCAGGTTTTAATGTGAGTCCTAAACTCCCCACGATGCAATTGGACAGGTGATTAAAGCGCAACGTCACCCACATGTCTAAACCTATTTAGCCTAATTTAGCTAACTTGTTACAGCGTAGTGAAGGAAACTGCTATACCAGATAAAGAGTCATGAACACGGATTCACTAGATGTTGTAATGTAGCTTCATTTCCAGTACACAGAACAGAGAAAACAGATTTGTGATGTGTTGTGATTGTAATGCTTTACATTGACTACAGAAAAGTAAAAAAGAAAGACCCTGTGGAGGGAGGCGAAGAGGAGGGTTTGATTTTAAAGGCCTCCATATTTTTAGATCTTTCCCAAATAGTTAACTGTAAGACAAAATGGCCTTGCAATATTTTGGCTTTCATAAAAACAGTAATTTCTATTAATTTTCCACAATGCAATTAAGACTTCTCTTTAAATTACGTCCACATTATCATCATAATGTATGTGTTTCATCAAATCTACAGTCCTGTCATGTAGTTAACGGCTAAATGTGTAGTTACTCTTCAAATGTGAAAGAAAAACTAAGTGTATCATGTAAAAGCTGTAGGTCATACTCTATATGTCCATGTCCCATTTTTCAAATGACTTGTGTGAGTTTTACTTTTCCTTTATTCTTACCTGTGGAGTGTGGCTTCAGAGTGAACTTAGGGACCTTGAACCAGGGGGAAGCCCCTCTTTCTTCAGACTCCCAGCTTTGGCTCTCAACCTCACTCCAAGTCTTCACCTTTGTTGAGCTAAACTCCATGGTGGAACTAGTTGGGGACTCTGAGCTGTCCCTGTCCAGCATATCTGTTCTGGCCGCAGATGAAACCACATCCTTTGAAAGCTCTTTTATAAAACCAGCAAAGTCCATCTTGCCCGATATTACTTTAAGCCCTTCTTCCACTTCTCCCGGCGACAAATCCTTTTTGAGTTGGACACTCATTTCTGAGTCCGCATCTTCTGCTGCCGTCTTACTGTATGGAGAGGTTAACTCCACCTTTGGAAGTTTGATTTTGCCACTGAATGTCCCTTTATTGTCCTTAGAGCTCTTGTGAGGACGTACAACTTTTTCACAATTAGGACTTGAACTTGAACCGTCGTCCTTTAGACTGACATCAGACAATGTATCAGAAAATGATACGACAGCTGATTTGTCTTTGCTTTGCTGCATTTTGGGCATCTTCACATTGACGTCCTGTTTTTCAGCCTCAACTGTTGTATCCTCTTCTGGGAGGCCTGTGGATGCAGCGGACCCATCCGCTTGTGAAGGATTCAATAAGACAAAGACAGCTTTCTTCACTTTGGGAATTTTAGGGTAATCATACTGGATATCTTGTCCATGGATATTTATTCTTCCCTCAGGATAGGAGATGGAGGGTAATGCAACACCACATTTAGGGGTTTTGCTTTTCTTGCCCTTATCTCTTTGGTCCTCATCTTCATCTTGTGATGCACCTATATCAAACTCTATGTCTGGAATCCTGGGGACTTTGATTTTTGCTTTGGATGACAAGGGACCACAATCTCCTTCTGTCCCTAAATCAGCTGAAGCTTGTTTGGCTGTCAAACTAACGCTTGGTAATGTAACCTCTACCGCTGGTATGTTCATACGATCTTTATTCTCTTCATGTCCAGTTTTCTTCTTTGGCATCCCAATCCTGAATTTAGTTCCTTTGACTTTTGGCCCCTTTACTGTGCTGTTGGTTCCCGCTGTATTGAGATCCAAGTCAGGTAGTTCAACTTTTTTCCTGTCCCTTTCTCCCTCTCCTCTATGAAGTCCCATATCAAGCTCCAAGTCTCCCTTTGGGCCTTTGATATCTATTGTTGGAATCTTGATTTCTGGACCTTTGTGCTCTCCCTCAACATGCAGATGAGCTTCCCCGTGTGCCTCTGTGTCTAGTTTAGGAATACTTTGTGTCAAATCGATGTCCAGATTTGGCAATGTGACTTGTGGCCCTTTTATTTTCTCTCCTGCCTCAATGGTTGGTACATTGATCTCTGCTGATACACTTCCCTTTGGAAGTTTAACATGTGGCCCATAGAACTGTCCCTTAGCTGCCTTAGTCTCAACCTCGGGACCTTTGATTGAAGTTTTTCCTTTAGGAAGAGATATGTCCAATTTTGGCATCTTGAACTTTCCACGGTCAGTCTTCAGTTCAATTTTGGGAACTTCAGGTTTTCCTTTGGGCAGTGAAACCTCGACTGAGGGTGTTGTCATCTGTGGCATTTTAGATGCACCTCCCTTAATTTCAAGGTCAGGACCCTCAAGTTTTCTTTTAGGCAGAGAGATGTCATAATCTGGCCTTTTCCAATGAGGCATCTTGAACTTTCCCCCATTACCTCCCTTCATTTCAACATCTGGCATTATATGAGGTTTTTCAAATGTTCCACGCTGACCTCCCTCCATTTCAACATCTGGGCTTTCAAACTTTCCTTTAGGGAGTGAAATATAAACAGAGGGCATGTTGAGATGTGGCATACTGAATTCTCCACGTTCTCCTTGGACCTCCATCTCTGGAGCTTCGATCATTCCTTTGGGGAGAGAAATGTTGATGTGGGGGATTTTAACGTGAGGCATTTTGAATTTACCTCCGGTACCTCCCTCCATTTCAACATCTGAAACTTCGATCTTTCCTTTGGGAAGTGAAACATCAAAAGAGGGCATGTTAGGATTTGACATCTTGATTTTTCCACCGTCTCCCTGAATCTCCATCTGTGGACCCTCAGTCTTTCCTCTTAGCAGGTCAATGTCCACATTTGGCATTTTAAAATTTTCCTGTGGAATCTCCTTTCCATTTCTGCATCTGG